ATCATCTTAAGCTAACAGAACAAAACCTGGAGTAAATAAACGAAACCAGTCCGGGCTCATTGTAGTGGGAAGTGCACGTGCTAAACGCTGGCCGAGCTAAGCCCCGCCTCCGTGATACCACCGCGCCCTGTGATTGGCTCAGTGTGCAGCGCCAAAGCGATCTGATTGGCCGTCAGCGTTCGGTGGGCGTATGAGGATGCAGGTGTTTTGCAACTGGTTTACGGGCGGAACACAACTCCCTGCTGTGGATCAGATTCTGCTGCACACCGTCCGAGTCGAGCTGCGGGGGTTCTGAGGTCCGAGCAGGCGGAGAAAATGGCAAAAGTCGACCTGGGTCAGGTTGGGAAGAACTTGGTGAAGAGCGCAGAAAGTGGCGAGGTGAGTGGGTCAGGGCTCAGCTGGGAGGTTCGGTTTGTTCTGCTGGTTCTGGTCCTAGTCCAGGGATCTCCAGCTCCGGTCCTCGTGAGCTCCGGTCCTGCAGGTGTTCGACGGTTCTGCCACACAGCTGACTCACATGAATGGATCATTATCAGAACTTGTGTAGAACTTGACAACAAGCTGCTGGAGATCCATTCATGTGAGTCAGGTGTGTTGCAGAACCGTCTAACACCTGCAGCACGGTACCGGAGCTGGAGGTAGCTGCTGTGGAGGCTCCCTGCTGAGAGCCGCCCCATTAAAGCCTCCATTAGCCCTGACTGGGTCTGATGGCGGCTCGCTGGGACCTGATGACGGTCCAGTGGGACTCAGGTGACGCTGAGCTGTGCAGCATGTCACCGGTTCCTCCCAGGTGTCATCACCGGTTCCTCCCACGTGCTGACTGTGCGTCACCTGTTCCAGACGGTGGAGCTGCAGTCTCTGTGGCAGGACCAGCCGGCGGTCCTGTTCTTCCTGCGGAGGTTCGGCTGCCAGGTGTGCCGCTGGATGGCAGCGGAGATCAGCAAGCTGGAGCCGGAGCTGCGGGCCGCCGGGGTGGCGCTGGTGGGCGTGGGCCCGGAGGAGCTGGGCCTGAAGGAGTTCAAGGAGGGAGGCTTCTTCAAAGGAGGTGAGCAGCTCATTGGGTCCACGGCGTTCTTTGTTTTGGTTCTAATGAGCAGAAAAATGTTTTAAAAGTGTTCTGACAGATGTTGGAGACACGTGATGCTGCTGCTGCTCTATTATTATATATTAGACACTGCTGACTGCTTGTTCATGTTTTTAAAGTTAAATTTTACATTAAATGTGTAAAATGGAACAAAAGACCGAGATCCGTTCTCATTAGGTTCTGTGTATCCAAATGCAAGGATCAGAATCAGAACCAGCTTTTATGACCAAGTACAGACACAACGTACAAGGTGTTGGTGTCGCCCTCAGCAACAGGAAAATAAAAAATAAGCTGAAATAAGTACAGAAAGAAAAAAATACAATAAATAATAATTACAAAAAATAAAATAAGATAAAGATATAAATTGCTTAAAATGTATATTTATTAATTGCATAAAAATAAAGCATCGGAGAGAGAACAGTTATCAATATGAAGCTGTGACTGAGTTAAGTTCAAAAAATAATATAAAATAACCTCCACTACCAGCCCCTGCATGATGTATAACTTCAAATGCAGCTTTTGCAAATGGTGCTTTTATTTTGAAACCAATTATTAATATTATTATTGATCATGTAAAGGGTCCAGCATCATCAGGCTTTAAGCAACATCTATAAATAATGTGAAATAGGATCTGATACGGCGGTGGCCACAGAAGATCAGATGTTAGACTGAAGTTAGCACATTTTTTATAAACTTTGTTGAGTTGTTTGCGCTCCACTCCAGCAGCTCTCACTGTGACCGTGTTGAACATAAACGTGTGTTCACCATCAGGATCCGTCCTCCTGTGTGATGTGATGTATAACAGCAGTCGCTCTTCTTCTCTTTATCAGACATTTACGTGGATGAACAGAAGAAAACCTACAAAGATCTGGGTTTCAAACGGTGAGTCCAGTGAACTCGTGGTTTGTCTGTTAATGAGCCATAATTGATGCTGATGGCTTTAATGTGATCAGCTGTAGAGCTGCAGCCAACAGACTGGCTGTGCATACGTTTGGGAAGTCCTGTGCAAACATGACCAGTGAGAAACTATAACAGCCACTTTCACACCAGATAGTCAGACTTATTGATTGTAAAGGTTACCTGCTGCTTTCTGATGTTCTCTGAACTTCACAGATACACAGCGCTGAGCGTCGTTCCTGCTGCTCTGGGGAAGAAGGTACGAGACGTAGCATCAAAGGTAAATACTTCCACTGTTTACTCGTTAGCTCGTCTGTATTCCAGCCAGAGGACACGCCGACATGTTGACTTCTTCTGACTGCTTTCAGGCCAGCGCTGAAGGAATCCAGGGCAACTTCTCTGGAGATCTGCTGCAGAGTGGAGGCGTGCTCATTGTGGCCAAAGGTACGATCCTAACGCACCACAGGGACGCTGATGAGGGTCTGGAGGAGGGTGAATGGAAACGCAGTGATGGTTTAAAAGACCCAGTTGATCAGGAGATGTCAGCATGAAGATGCTGTTGTGTTTGCTGTAATATGTAAATACAGGCACACAAAGAGTGAAGCATCTCCTCAGGCTGTCCTCTAGAGGGCAGTGCTGCCTCACATCATCACTGGCTCATAATCTAACGGACCCCCGGTACCAGAGCTCCTCAGGCTGCTCGCTGTCCTCACTTCTTCATTTCACATAAACGTACATCTTAAGCTACTCAGCCGTGCAGTCACGTGTTTGGTTAAAAACTCTCTGAAATAAATCTGGAACAGAAGCGAGTTTCTACCCGAGTGGAACTCATTTAAAGCACAATGTTGGGAAAACTAAGAATGCAGTCAACAGGCGGCTGATAACTTTCTGTAGCTCTTTGTCAGCATCTGTTGTGGTGTAACGGGCAGCTTGTCCTCAAGAAGGGGAGTAATCTGATTACAATTCACTGAATCCTGTGACTCCACCAGAAGCCATGTGTGGGGCAGGTCTCACCAGACATGTCCTTCACCTGCTCAATTAAAGCGGGTTTAGTCGTGGAAGGAATCTCGTCAGGAGCTTATGAAACAGAAGCTTTGCACTAAAACCCGACTGCTTGTTTGGAGAACTGCGGCTTTTGTGCTAATTCTGGTGTTTAGATATTAGTTTTATTCATATCTTTTATTCCTACTAACAAACTGTTGTGTGTTCTCTGTTCATATGTAGAAGAGCTTTCCAAAGAAGATCCGTCATAAGCTTTGACTGTAAAGGACAGTCGACTAGCTGCTTGCTTGATGTGACCCTCTAATTATTTGTATTTTGTTTTTTGTGCTGTGAAGGTGGAGAAAAGGTCTTGATGCACTTCATCCAGGACTCACCAGGAGACCACGTGGCCCTGGAGGACATCTCCACGGCTCTGGGCATCTCAGCCACAGCAACAGCAGGACAGAAGCCCGCGGTGAGCACATTTCATTTCAATATTTTATAACTTTTGTGTTTCTTACTGGTGCCCTGAGTGCGCTCAGCTCCGGGGCGAGCGGTTCATTAAACGGTGTGGTTGTGTTGGAGCTCTCTGGACCGACGTGTCCGGCAGGAGACTCTGCTTTACGTCAGCAGAGGCTCATGCATCAGAGCAGCCTGTTCACACAATTTCACACTTATTACACCATCTTCATGGTCTGTCAGCGTCCGTGTCAAAGGGCCCCAAAACCTTTTAAACTTGAGCAGCGATCCCTGTGCTGGAAAACACACACAAGTTATCATTCTAATCCTCAGCGTATCAGCAGTGCCGACTGGAAAACCAGCTTCAGCCAGCGTTTCTGAAACACGTTGTCCTCTCAGAAACAGTCATGTGGCTTCAACGTGGAGGAGTTTATGTTTTTAACATGTCAGCGATGATTACTGTAATTAGCGCGTTTGCACATCACACGCTGGTTTATCGGAGACAGAATGAGCTGCTCTTTTATGTCGGGAGTTTTAAGTAGTGCTGCTTTTACTGGGCACAGCTGGACCTCAGTGCTGGTGTAGAAATGTTAGAACCTGGTCACAGCTTTGAGAAGTAAACAGCCGCGACACGCAAAGCTGTCGACAAACAACAACAAGAACAAACAGTCAGCAGGTGTTTGTTTAAGCCTTTAAAGTCAACCTACAGAAGACAAACATGCAGTTTACTGACAGCAACAGCTCAGCGTTTTATTGTCAGGAGACTGTAGCTCAGGTCTGTTTGGTCAATATGAAGCTGTAATGAACTGAATGTGACACAAAGACCAGAACCGGGTCGCCTTGCTCCGTCCAAACAGGAAGAACTCTGATAGCAGCACCTTTAAAGCTCACGTACTCATACGTCACGTGTTTAGTTTAATCCGTAGAAAGCTGAGCTCTAACAGTGACGGGTTGAGGACTGTTTGTTGGTGTTTAGCAGAACCGTTGGAGACTTCCTGGTCCGGTAGCACCGCTGACAGGAAGCTACTGGTCCCCAACAAACACAGACTAGTGTTGTAATGGTTAAACAAAGGTGATGTAACATGGTCAGTACTGATTGTTTTGTCACCTTTTGAGAGAGCCGAGCAGTTTCCTTTTTCTTCCAGTCTGCATGCTAAGCTAAGCTAAGCTAAGCTAAGCTAACCAGCTGCGGGCGTGAAGCACTAGTTTTCTATCGTCAAGAAAGACAACAAGCTCATTTCCAAAAAGTTTTTCTCTAAAAGTTTTTGTTCCTTGTTGCCTCAAAAATGATCAAAACCCAAAAATATAGTCAAAGTGACTTTGTTGTCGGTTCTGCTGCTCGTCTACACGTCCAGAGAACTGAAACTGGGTTTCTCTCAAACCCTCATTTAAAAAAACAAAAAACACACAGTTGAAAAAATATACATACTAAAACCTATACAATCTGACCAAATAAAAGCTACAAAACATACAATTTAAACATATGATAGGATAAAAAAAATACAATCTGACCAAATAAAAGCTACAAAATAGAAGAAAACAGAAGAATCTGCATGAGGCCCATATTACGACTTTGGTTCTGAACCGGATCTGTACATATAAAAAATAACGTGCAGTGAAAACAGTGCAGTAAACTCGCTTATTATGCTGTGAAATGGCTTCGTGTCAGAAAACGTTAACATAAGGTTCAGTTAATGTTTAGAAAGAACGCCTCATTAGCAACACTGAGGGTCACTGAGAGATGTTGTATGAACTGGGAACACTGGTGCAGCTCAGATCTCCAGCTCAGGCTGTAACACTCATGTTAAATGTCATGAACTGTACATTTCTTCATGACTTTGGTGGAATAAGAGACAGAAAACTCTAGTTATTGAGGTTTTAATGGCGATCAGCATGCTGTATGGAAAACACAACAAACAGTAAAATAAGATGACGTCGTGCTCCAGAACCGCGCTGACATTCATTCTGCAGCATCGACATACTGGTTCAGTCCAGAGAAGGAGCCCCGGGGTTGGCTGTGGTTCTGCGGTGTCGGGTTTAACGGACCGTGAAGCAGAAACTACAACAGAAAACACAGTTTCTGTTCTGTATCACAGGAGCACATGTATAGAACAGACCGCTGGCAGGCCGTGGACCCGACCTCAGCAGTCAGAACACTGTGAGCTCTGTCCTGTGGGCCTCAGACATGCCCCTGATATCCAGCACATGGTCTTCAACAGCTTCTTGCCTCCTGGCTCTGTTGCTCATTTCCCACGAAAGCCACGATGTCAGAGCTGTTGCAACGTCTCCCCATGACCCGTCTGAAGACCGGCAGATGTCTGCAGCCCAGGAACAGAATGGACCTTGTTCCCTCTGACTGGTCAGAACGTGTCGGGGACAAGTCACAAGCTGATGCCTTTAGTGTGAGGAGGTTCTGACGGAGGTGAAGCTTTGTTAACAGAGTGACGTCTGATGAAACCTTTTGACTGATCTGCTGCTGATAGACTCTGTTTACTCCCTGAAGCCTGGAGGAGGAAACTATCAGACTAGATTTCCCTCAAGACCAGCCTGTGTTTCAGCCTGAGGCCCATAAACACGACACCACCCTGAAGACAAATAAAGCTTTATCGTATAAATCGAAGGTCTTCTCTCCGGTTCCCTTTAACTTTAGTTCACAGATAAGTTCAGATAAAGTCTTCATGTGGCTCAGCGACACACATTTGATCCCTCACTGATGAATCCAGGATCTTCTCTGCCTTTGTAACGACCAAACAGGACCTAAAAATTTTTATTTTTTTAGATGTGAACATTAGAATTTGAACACGTTTCATACGAGGCCTGTAACCAGCAAACGCCTTCATAGCTGAGTGACCTGCTGGTTATTTCCTCAGTTAACTGGTGAGTTTAGTGTAAAAGTGTTGATCAGTGGTTCCCAAACTCTAGATAACGTCCTCAGACGTCGTGTTTTGGCCACAAATCAAAGAGATTCAGTTTCCTGCTGTAGAGGAGCGAAGCAACCAGAAAGTACATTTAAGAAGATTCAGAGAATCTGGGCGCC